AATTATTAAGATATGGGCGATTTTATGATGCACGAATTTTTATTTAAGTTTGTGTAAGGGATTTACGGAAAGAGTTTGATCTAAAAAAATTCCATTATTTCTATTAGTTTTATTAATTTAGAAAAAAGATATATAAACTCTAACTTTTTTTTTTGCTAAAAAAACTCAAACATTCTCTTTAGATACAAATACTCTTTAATTATAAAAATATTCTCTCTTATAATTAAAGTCTTATACTATAAATAAAAGATATCTTTCTTTAACTATATATTTTTTACAAACTGCTCTTAGTGAAGTTATATTTCACTTCTATATCACTATATTATTGCAACAAATTACTATAACTGTATATTTTGTTACTTGTGCTATATTTGAAGATTACAGTCTACTTGTAACAGAAGTTTATATAGTTAATAAAATGTTTTTCGAAGATATTATAATTTACCAAGCCGATTTTGATGATTTAACCACTATTAAATTCATCTTAATAAGCTCTATAGCTTCAATTAAAAACTTAAAAGTGATTAACTTAGTATAAAAAAAAATTTAGATAGAAGCAACTTACATTTAAAAAACTTTAATTTCTATATATAAACTGTATTATATTACACTATGACCTCTCTCTGGTTGACTGATAAATTACCATTACACTATGACCTCTTTCTGGTTGACTGGTAAATTACCAATTAATATTAATTAGATTGAAGCAGTCACAAAATATCAGAGCATTAAGTTTTATTATCAGAACACTGCCATAGCTTGAATAAATCATTGTTACTGGCATGATCTGCCAAGTGAAACAAAAAAAAAAAGTAAATTTTTTTTTGTCAATAATATATATTACTAAAACACTTTGTATTAATAAAACAATCCTTAAATCTTGTTTTCTTGCTTATATATATATATATATAAGGTTAAGTTAATAGAAACCAAACAAATTTTTTTTACAAACTTATAAAATTTATTTAAAAAAATTTTTATTAAATTTGATTAAATTTTTGATTTCTACTGATTCACCTATATATATATCAATAATTTTTTGAAAATTTTATGTATTTAGTTATATTTCGCGATCAACCTTTTCAAAACGAACCTCAGAACCTCGGAATCTCTTTTCTCTAAACATACTCCTATAATGCAGAGTTTAAAAAGAATTTTAAACAAACATCTTTTGTAGCCACAACAGTGATGCAGCATTATGATTGCTTTTGGAAGATAGTTGAATAAACACATTTGTATTCACAATTACCTTAAATCATCATCCGCATTATAAAGAACCACTTCAATTAATCGCAATGAACTTGGTCATTAGCAAATTACATCGAGACAGCTGCTAAACACGCCCAAAACCGATAAATACACAGCCAGCTCTTTCGATATTTTCGTGTGCGAATGTATTGTATGACATTGAACTACTACCACAGAGAATGCACTCTATATTCGCGTTTTTATCATCATTATATGATAGTTCTGGTGCCGTCCTAGTATCTATCGCCCACAAAAAAATTGTGATATCTATCGATATCAGTAATAGAATCTTCAGAATGAAATCCTTTCAAATCTCCAGTTTGTAAAAACCACAATCAAACAAGTAGCATATTTGAAATCAAATACACCGTATTTCTTAAATTATTATTAACATCAATTAAATGAAGTCGATAATTTAAGAAATATTTAATTTCAATGTACCAGGTACTTGATTATGCACCGGGCAGAAAATTTAAAATTCGCCATCTCTCGACTTCAATAAAGCATTTATGTACACTATCTAATAATCTGGAATTACAGTACGTATTTGATTTTAATACGTACGTACGTATGTGATCGTGGTTTTTAGATTCCTTGCACTGTACGTATGTACGTACAAACTTTATTGTTAAAAAATACTGTGTTTGGTTGTGATTTTTAGATTTCCTACACCAGATTTCCAGATTTGAAAATCATTTCCTGCAAGATGATTATCCTGAGGTGTTATCGCTAAATACAAAAAGCACGCACCAAAAGATGGAAAACCCAGTTTAAATACAAAAAGTACGCACCGAAAGATGGAAAACCCAGCGGTAACACGTTTCAGGCAATACTTACGTATTAAAACTGTTCAACCCAAACCAGATTACGAGTCCTGTACCCAATTCTTATTAGAACAAGCAAAAGAAATAGGATTGAAATCTAATGTTTTTGAGGTAGCGCTAAAAGGATCATGAAAGCCATTTTTTTGGCATATAATTTTAACGCACGTTCTGTTCTTTGTGAAAGTATGTCAAAGGAAAACCAATAATATTGTTGACATGGGAAGGTCGTTATCCGAACCTACCTTCAATACTTTTAAATTCCCATACAGACGTTGTTCCCGTTTTTGAGGTATAAAATTAATATTTATCGATTATTTGTATTCTAAGTAATAATTTTACAATTATATTAGGAGAAATGGAGTTGTAAACCATTTGAAGCGTGTAAGCTTGATAATGGAGACATTGTAGCCAGAGGTGCTCAAGATATGAAATGTGTTGGTGCAAGCTATCTTGAAGCTATCAGATATCTCAAGGATCAGGATCAACAACCATGTCGAACAATTCACCTTTCATATGTTCCTGGTATAGTTCACCAAAAATTATATCTCGATATAGATCAAACAATCTTTTGTATTTAATTAAATTTATCCAAAACAGATGAAGAAATTGGGGGAGAAGATGGAATGGGATGTTTTATTAAATCAAATGATTTTAAAAAATTAAATGTTGGATTTGCTTTAGACGAAGGAATTGCAAATCCAAATGATGCTTTAAGAGTTTTTTATGGAGAACGAACTGTTTGGTGGATTAATGTTACAACAAGAGGGAACACAGGACATGGATCACAATTCATAAAAGATACCGCTTTTTCAAAACTGGTTTGTTGATATATATATATATAGTTTTTCTATGAGGATTTACTATATCCATTAATGTTTTAGAATTTTATAGAATCGCATTATCAACAGGTTTATGGAATTTCGCGCGTCTCAGGAACAACAAATGGCGATTGGTATAAATACAGATGGAACGAAGTATCATATTGGAGATGTGACTACAGTTAATCTTACAATGTTAAAAGTAAGAAAACTTTATCTGGCCATTACACCCATTCAAAGCAAAAAAAAAAAAAAAACGATTTTAGAAGTTCTCTAAATAAAATTACTTATTACTTAATAGGCTGGTATTCAACATAATGTTGTTCCAGAGGAAGCTACAGCCGGTTTTGATATTAGGATCACTCCAAAAGTTAATTTCGCATTATTTAAAAATATGATAGAAGAGTTTGTAAATTCTGAGCCCGAGTAAAGTTTATTTATATTCAATGCATCTATTTGTAAAAAGTTTACCTCTAACCCCATGTTATCAATTTTTAATAGTTCTACAATAGAATTTGTGCAATATAATGAAGCCATAAGCCCTACACCATTAGATGAAAATAATATTTGGTGGGTTGTATTTCGTGACTTCTGTAAAGGACGGTAGGTTACTAATTTCTCAATTCATAGATCTATTACATAAATCAATCGTATTAATCTATTCTACATTATAGTAATATTCCTATTCAACCAGAAATTTTTCCGGCTGCTACCGACTCGCGTTATCTACGTGGCATCGGAATTCCGGCATTAGGTGTTTCCTACATCAGGAATACTCCAATTTTGCTACACGATCATGACGAACGTATAAATGAGAACTTGTTTCTTGAAGGTATTGAATTCTATAAAGATTTAATTAACCACTTGGCAAATATCCAGGAGTCTTAAATAGGCTTACAAATGCAGTAAACAATGAGTTTTTTTTTCTTTTTTTTTTTTTATAAAAAAATGTTTGTGTATATAACAAGTGAATATATATAACATCGTTCACACTACTCATAAATTCAATGCCTAAATTTATCTTCAAAAACTAAATAAAAAGTCCTTTTTTTTTGTTACTTTTTTTACTTGCGGTTATGTAAATGGTGTAAAAAATGTACAAAGGAGGAAGTGTACGTCCTCCGATTTCAAAAATTTTTAAAAATTAATGAATGGTTTGGAAAGGTGTAAAAAAATGTACACAATGTATAATTACTTTTAATACTATAACAGGCGGCTGAATTAAACTCTAAAACGAAGTAAATATTCACGATAAATGTTCAACCAGATTAAATACTTTATTATGTATATATATATATTATCGAGAAATCCCTTCAAAAAATATTCACAGATTATTTTTTTAATGATCCAAGTCCCTGTTTTTTTTTTATAAAAAAAAAAAATTATTCAAAATGCAAAAACTCAGAAATTAAAGAGAATTTAAAGAGTTGAAGTACTTACAATATCTTCAAGAAATTTATTTATATCGTTAATAGACTTTTTAGGGAATATCGATTTAAAATCAAACCCACTTTCTTTCATCTTCCGTGCAATCACCTGCTCGCTCTAATAATAGAACATATGTAAAATCATAGACCATATATTGTCATCATATTATAGAATGAATACTTACAGTGCTAGCCTTTAATGCCGTTAAATATCCAGTCATTACTTTCTCTAGGCCTTTATCATCTATTTCTGATAGAGGTTTAAGCAAATCTGATGCATCTTTAAGGTCAAGCCGTGCACCATTAAACAATTGTCCAGTGAACGTGTAAGATTTGGGTGCATCAGCACCAATATCTATCAAAAATTCTACAGTAGCAGTAAAACCTTCCATAAAGACTGATTTATCCACAGTATTCTCGATTATGAATTTGTCAAATAATCTTATGACTTTATCAACATCATCTTGCTTCTTTTCAAGTGCTTTGTTTGCAAATATCTCAATCGCCTTAGAGTAAAATTCTTTGGGCAGTTCCTTAATACATAATATTACCTCCTAAAAAGAATAATAAAGAAATGAATTTATCTGCGTAAAGCCAAAATATTTT